TCTGGGCCTTGCCCAGGGTCACAAGGTGGGTAGGTATCCAGGCAGGGTCACAGTCTGGTGTCCTTAACTCCAACCCAGCTGGAGAAGCCCAGGTGGGCTAGGTGGGCCCCAGGTGGCCGTGTCTCCATTGCCACCCCTCTCTGTTCTCTTCCCAGACCCTGCATCTCAGGATCTGCAGGAATTTTCACCTGATTCCATCTCATCAGTCAAAAAAAAGACTCAGAAGAAACCTTTGCCTTCATTCAAAATAATCTACTTTTTAAAAAATAGTTGGTGAGGGCGAACAGGCCTCCTGAAGGCTGGGTACGATCTACACTTTCCGTCTATACTGTTGTGATTGCCTCTTTTACAGCTCTGCTGAGGCCAGGACTGAGACTGAGAGAGTTCAGGAAGCTCTGAAAGTCCCTTTTGCTCTCAGAATTAAGCACTTTTGGAAGTCAAACTTAATCTCTCTGGTCTCAGTTTAGGCACCTGCAGAATGGAATGATTGTATTGGTTTCTCCTTGGTGCTGCCATAAAGACGAAATCCAGCGAGGTAAGGTATGCAATGCATTCAGCAAGATGCCTGGGATGTGGGGAGCTCTGCACGACAACCATAATGACAGTGGTGGTAGTGCTTACGGGGGTGATGATGGTGCAGAAACACATGATCACTGGGGACATGATCCCGAGGAGGCTGTTGGGGGTCTAGGGCTTCAGTAAAGCAGAGTTCAATTCTCTGACTCTCCCAGATGGAGCAGACTTGCTGTGATCGCTTGGTGATGGCACCCACCACGTCCAGGACTCCAGGACCACTCCAGATGCCCCCTGGAGCACAGTTCTTCTCTGCCATCCAGAGAACCCCCTGGGCACCTCTGCCCCTGGGCTCTGCCTGTGTACCACCTGGCTTCCTTTCCCTTTCCTTTTCTGGAGCAAAGAGCCAGCTCCACCCCTGTGGGTTAGATCCAAATTAACTGCCTTTGTTATGGTAATTGTGCAAGTATCCCCTTGGATTCTCTGGCAGGCAGCAGATTCCTGGGTGTTGCTAAAAATATAATCACATGACTCACACAGCCTCTCCCTTCTCTCCACAGGGCCTTTCTGCTCCTGGGAGCCGGACCAGGGTGCCAACCCACCCCAGAGTCTCAAATGAGGCTCGTGCCCAGCTTGCTACAAAGGCTCAGAAACAAACTTGGTCCCCAGCTTCAGCTGCTGGCTGGCCACAGTCGTTAAGAAACCTTTCACATCACTTCTTCAAGGGCTTCTCTGCTTTGCTTTTGGGGTCATTATCATGTACAAAGTCAAGATGTTTGTTTGTTTGTGGTATTAGGGATTGAACCCAGGGCCTTTGGACTGGAACAGGCCCCCTCAGAGTTTTCGTTGATCAACACCAGATCAGCGTTGTGACTGGATTCACACTCCCCAGTAGAGAGAGATGGTCTGCTCCCGTAGGAGCTTACTCTGTTCTCCAGATGTGGGGCCACACCCACTCTGCCTTCATCCCACATGTGGCCTCCAGCTCTTTCCTTGTTGGTGCCTCAACCCTGAGTCCAGTACAGTGGCTGAGAAGCCAACAGTGTGATTCCCTCCCCCACTGAGCATCTGGAGAAGGGAAAGTCTTCCAGTGAATGTTCTTGACAGTCTGGCCGTGTGTGTGTGTGTGTGTGTGTGTGTGTGTGTGTGTGTGTGTGTGTGTATACACCCATGTGCGTGTGTATTTTACTGGGAATTGAACCCAGGGCATTCATCCTGAGTTATATCCCCAGTCCTTTTCATTTTGAGACAAGGTCTCTAAGCCCCTAAATTGCCCAGGCTGTACTCAAGCTTGCAGTCCTCCTGCCTCAGCCTCCTAGAGTTCTAGAATTGAAAATGTACACCACCACACCTGGCTCTGATAACCTGCTTTCAGGGCAGGTTGCCCAGCTTTCTTTCCCTCCTGGGTGCTGAACTAGCAAAAATGGGCTTTCAGGAAGGCAAAAGGAACAGAGATGGTTTACACACAGGAACGGGAGGCAGAGGAGTCCTGCGAAGGTCCCCAGGTAAATCTACCTTGCCTTGGCTTTTCATGTGTGAAGATGGCCAGCAGTAGCCACAGTGCCCCCTGCCCAGATGCTCAGCCCCATCCATACGCTGCCACCCTGCTGCGTTCAGTGTGGAGTAGGGATTTGGAGAGGGGACCAGGGCTGGGTGGGCGGGGCAGGATGCCAGGCCCAGGGGAACCTCCAGGGTTCCAATCCATAAAAGTGTGCCTGAGACCTTCTACATTTAGGATGCAGCATCGGGGGTCACACTGGATAATCTGCCCCAGGCACCTGGGAGGGGACACAAGACTGCACCACCGGAACCACACTCCTGACCTGAGCAGTGGCAGGAAGAACTGACATCAAAGAATGACATCAAGGAAGGAAGTCGCATGTGCTCAGAAAGCATGACCGTAAAGCAAACAGGTCCTCAAGGTGAGCCTGCAAAAGCAGAGTGACCTAATCACTGATGAGCATGGCCTGGGACCAGACCCAGCTGAGCTGTCTGGTTTCCCTGTGGAGGTGTCTCATCAGGTCCCACTGGAGTCCTGTGTCCCTGGAGTATTGGAAACTTGGAGGTTACAGACTCCTGCTCACCGTCGCCATGGGACAGGCATCAAGCTCCCGCCCACTTCCATCTCTCCCCACCTCTCTCTCCCTCTAGGCCAGTCCACCATACTGGGAGAGTGTGACATGCTGTGTGGAGAGGTCAGAGGCCTCCAGCCTCCAGCCAGCACTCCAGCCATTGGCCACGTGGATGGGCCTCCTGGGAAGCAGCCCCTCCAACTCCAGCGAAGCCTCTCAATGACCTGCCTGCAATTCTGAGGTACAGCCCAAACTAGACTCTGTAGCCAGGCAGCTTCTGGATTCTCAGAGTCTCCTGAGTCATGGGAAGTGCATGGCTACCATTGTTGGATCCTCTAGGTTTGGGGAAAGGCTGTCACACTACAGTAGAGAGCAACAGCAGGAGACCTGGCCCCGGTGACAACCTTGAGGCTGATCCTTGCCTGACCCTGGAAGCAGGTGGTTCACGTGGCAGACTGTCCCCCGGCCCCTGCTGTGGCTCCCCAACTTTCCCCAGCCCTTCTTATCCTGCCCTTCTCCTGGCCACCATGATTTCTTCTGTTTGAGCCAGTCAGGATGTTTCACAGGGCTGTCTGTCAGCTTTAATTTTTAAACCACAAACACCAGTGCCACCTTTTAATTATACACACCAGGGAAGGGCTGTAAGCAGTGAAGGGAGGCAGAAGCACAGGTCAGCCTAAGGGGAGAAGAATCTGAAAAACACTTTGCTTCTGAACATGTAAAATGGGGATGCAGGGGACACACTCAGACCTGCGGGGGCTCCTCTGGCCTTACAGACCTTGAGCTGCTCCTGCCCTGAGAGCAGCTCTAGTGGAGAGGGAGCTGGCTGGGAGGAGATGCTGCAAACCAGAGTGTGGGCTTGCCCCCTCTTTGTTCTCTGGTTCAGCATCCAGCAAGTGTCGGATACAGCCCGGAAGGGGCCCCTCTGCAGAAGAGGGACACCTAGTCCCCAGGGCTCTTGGTCCTGGCGGTTGGACCAGCTGCTTCCTGGTCCTTCCAATTGCCAGGAGATGCTGAAAGGTGGGTTTCCTGTGGGGAGCTATTGGGTAGAGATCTGCTGGAGTGTGCTCTGCACCCCCAGTGCCACCACATGCTCCTCGCCTTTATGAGAGCTTGGCACTTACCACCCACCTCTGGACAGCCGAGGCAGCTAATTATCCTGACCCCGTGTGTTTGGGTAGGAGAGGAAGGGAAAGGCCTGTAATTAAACCTCTGAGTCAGAGAGGGCTGCATCTTGGCAGAAGGTCAGTTGGAAAGTGGCTAAACCTCTTCCAACTTGGAAGTTAAGAGCGGCCCCGTCCCCACCCCCACCTCCCACACTGTGGGTGGAACTCAGAACCTTCACACTGAGCTACATCCCCAACCCTTTTTTGTTATCTTTTATTTTGAGACAGGATCTAGTTAAATTTCTCAGGCTAGGCTGGACCTTGTGATCCTCCTGCTTCAGCTTCCCAGAAGGTAAATGCAACATTTTAATTGCAGTGTCAGTTATGATTATATTTTTCTCTTATTGCCATCAAAACAGATTTATCTTTTTGCACCTCTAGGATAGAATTTCTCAAGAATAACACCCAATTGGTCCATGTCTGCCTGTACCCACACCCTTAGTACCCCTTCCTAAACTGATTCTGGGCCTGCCCTGCACTTGGCTTTGGCTAGTTAAAAAAGAAGCAGAGGCTGAGGCAGGAGGATCACTGCAAGTTCAAGATAAGCCTGGGCTACAAAGTGAGCTCAAGGCCTGCACAGGGAGACCAGCTCAAAAAGACAAGAAAAAGGAAGAAAAGAGAAGGAGGAGGAGGAGGACAAATCCTAAAGTCAGAGCATTCAGGGCCAAATACACAGTGGGCGGTGAAGAAGAGTTTTGTAAAGCACAGAGAGCCCTCAGATGAAAAGGTCCAGGCATCTGGATTTCCCAGGCCTTCTCTGAGGAATGACTCTTTCTCTGGGTGCTATCTTTACTTAAGTCTAATTTTTTTCTACTTATACAAATTAACTATATAATTATTATGAAAAATTTTAGAAAAAGGTAAAGAATAAAAAATTTTAACCATGCATAGCTCCACAACCTAGAGCTAAGTCATGCTAAGCACACAGTTGGACCTCCACAGCCAAAGGCTCCAGGTGCTCAGATTCAACCAGCATTGGGTCCAAAATACTCGAGAGGAAAAATGTGTCCATACTGAACCCTGCTGACTTTTTCTTGTTATTCCCTAAGAAGTACATAGAACACAAATTCCACAGCATGTACCTGATAGTGTAGGTCTTAGGAGTAGCTTAGGAGTAGCTGGTTTGCACTGTGGAGAGAGTTCTGTACAGGAGGAGGTGTACAGGTGAACACTGCACCACTCAACATAAGGCCTTGAGCATCTATGGATCTTGGTATCTGTGAGGGTTCAACTCAATTTCAACTGGGGATAATTGCATTTTTCATTTATTACAGGCTTTTTGCGTAATTTCTGCACTGCATTAAAAGCATTAGTTAGTAGCTTCAAAAATTAACGTAAAAGCATTAGTATTAGCTTCCAGAAATGAAGAATACATGTTTATCTAGTAGAATAACCACTCCAAGGGTGACCAAGGGCAGCGCAACTAGCAAACTTCTGGTAGAAGTGCGATCATAGAGTTTACTGGGTTCATCCTAAAGGCAAGAAAGGAGACAAATACAAAACCGTAGTAAAATGACGAATTTAAACCCAAAGCAGTCAATTATTAGCTCAAATGCAAAAGTGCTAAATACTTCAATTAAAAGGTAAAGATGGAAGCCAGGTGTGGTGGCTCATGCCTGTAGTGCCGGCACTCGGGAGGCTGAGGCAAGAGGATCACTGCGAGTTTGAAACCAGCCCAGGCTATGATGTGAGTTCAAGGCCAGCCTGAACTGCATAGCGAGACCTTGTCTCAAAAAAGACCAAAAAAAAAAAAGGCCAAGATCGTCAAAGCGTGTTAGAAATCAGGAAGTCAGGGATGCACCGAAGAAAGCACAGGCGCATTCCCGCTTGTGTGGGAAGCAAGCGCCAGGCAGCCTGGTTGCCATCCAGAGCGGGCTTGGCCTTGCTCCCTGGTGCTGTTGGCATCTGGCTCGGGCAGCTCAGGAGGGAACTTTTTCAGCTGATTTTGGCGAAATTATCAGCCGGGTTTCAGACATGGGTGGACCACGCTGACTTCAGCCTAGGACGTGCAGGCCTGAAGCACCTGTGCTTGAGAACGTGAAGACGGCGGCAGTGAAGCGGATGCGCCAGGAGCGTTGAGCAGGCCACACACAGAGGGACTGGCCTGATCCCCTGCCTTGTGCCATACCAAAGGTGAAACTCAGCCCTTTTGTTCTGCATCTCTGTGGGTCAGGAATCTGATGGATCACCTCGTAGGAGACTTGTGGCTGCCCTGGATTTCTGGGGGCACAGCGGAAAGATTCACGGGTCTGGAAGAGGTGTTGCAGTGAGGGGTGGCAGGCTGGTCCATTCCCATGTCCACTCAAGAAACGGTGTGGCCGCTGCACTGCCGAGCTGTTGGAAGGAAAGGGGAGGCTGAGACAGTTCCCTAAGCTTACATCCTGCTCTCTCCACCTCTCCCCACTGCCACGGACTGGCCATGAGGTCAGGGAAGGGACTGGGCCCTCAGCACACCCACCACCATGGACATGGCCGTGCCTCGCCCTCACCTGCACGCACCACACTGCACTCGTGTGCTGGCACTGCTCTATGTTCATGCCTTCACACACGTTTGCATACACACTCCTAATGCAGTGCACACACACACACACAAATACAGTTTCCTCCACCCACACACTGTCCTACACTGACATGCACACTCAGCTACATTTACACACCCACACAATGGAGCCTTTCGCCCAGTAGATTCCAGAGCTTTTCCTGCTCCAAGACCAGCTATGAGACACAGGGGTTTTGTCCTTCCCCATCCCCACACTGTGATTCTAGGCACCCAGATAGCAGGCCGAGGACATGGAATTCCGCAGCAGCAAGCTCTCCGTGCCCTGCCCCACGCAGCCAGGAGGCTGCTGTTCCTGGGGTTCCAGGCTAGGAGAAAGGAGGTGAGGGGAAGCTCCCCTCCTCCTTCTGCCTCCTGCTGACAGGATAGAGACACAGCCTGTGCAGAAGAGTATTTGGGCTGCCCCTGCCAAGAAGCTGACCACACTTCCGGCCTCTTTGTGCTCCCAGTCGCATCCTCGGTGCCAGCCTCGGTGGCCATCTGGGAAGTGGTTGTGAATAGTACCACCTTCCAAGGCCATTTTGGGGGAACCCCATGGCAGTGCCTGCAAAAGCACTGGGGGAATCATTAATGCCTGCCCTGTCGGAGTGATGCCACTATTACAACCTGCACTTCCTGTTAGCATGAGGGCTGGGGACAAGCTTCAGGAACAGCAACTGTACACTCAGGAGCTCTTCCAGGACAGCAGCGTGGAAATGTGCCCGAGGCCCAGGGGCACAGGCAGAGGGCAGCAAGAGGCCCAGGGAGGGCAGTACACAGAGAAAGTGGGATGCTGGGCGGCGTTACCATCTCTGCTGGCCCTACCCAGGGCCCTACAGTGCCCAGCAGAGCCAGAGCCTTCCTCTCCCTCCAGCGGTTTCCAGGAAAGGCTCTGTTGCCATGGGAACATTCAACCAATTATTCTGCTTTGCAGAAAATCACTTACAGCCAACTTGGCTGGAACACATTCCCCTCCCCAGAGCAAATGCTACCTCGTTTGCTTGGCCCTACTGTGGCCGCACCTGGGAGTGGAGCCGCAGGAGAACAGCCTGAATCTCAGGCTTTCTTTGGGCCAGAGCATGTGGACAGTGCAGGAGAGGAGTGCGTCCTTTAGCAAACCACAAACCCTGGCTTCCCAGGGTTTGCAAGTCCATGGACGCATAGGAGCCTCCTGAAGACGGAGTGGGTCAGGGCCAAGGTCATCCGGTTCCGTGGGACCAGCATCGCTGGGAGCCAGACTCCGCTGGACACTGGGAATCCACTGGGAATCCTTCTAATACTTTCCATGGGAACTTGGGAACTAAAGAGGGGTAATGACCGGCAAGCAGATCAGTATCAGCAAGTGACAAGGACAATGATACCACATGTTCAGATTAGTCAGAAGTGGCCCAAGAGAGGAAAGAGAATGCAGGAAGATAAACAGAGGCTGGGTTTTAATGTACAAATAAGAGCTTGCCAGGTAGACAAGGGGTGAGGGTGGGAGCTCCGGGCTGGGGAAACATGAGCAAGGAGTGGAGTCATGGAACAAAACAGCACACTTGCCGGACAACAGCTTGCCGGGCGCTGTCCTCAGCCAGGGGCAGGGGCGCAGGGTCAGGAGTCAAGTGCACCCTTCACAGCCTGGCTTTGGGCCTGTGTGCAGTGGGAAGAACCAGACTGGCAGGTGGCCAGGCCAGGCAGGAAGGAGGCCAGAGATCAGCCAGGAGCCTGGGGTCCCGCCCAGGCAGGGAGTAAGGACGCTGGACCAGAGCTGGTGACCAGCAGAAGCAATAGTCAGGAGGACTGCAGCGAGCCTGGCCAGGAATGGGGTGAGACTCCCCCGGACCTGCATCTAAGGAGGTGGGGTTTGGAGGCCACTTTAACCAGGATGAGGGGTAGAGGAGGAGGGCAGAACACGGTTGGACTGGCCCGTGATGAGGAGACAGGACACGTTTAGTATGCCACAGGCCAGCTGTGGCCAGGCCCTCTGTAGCCAGACGGCTGGAGTTTGATTTCCTCCGCAGACGATTCTTAGCTATGTGGCCTTAAGAAATGAGCGAACCTTCCCAAGCCTCAGTTTCCTCTTTTTTTGTGGTACTGGGGGTTAAACCCAGCATCTTCACATTAAGTTACACCTCTAGTCTTTTTTAATTTTTTATTTTGAAACAGGATCTCACTAAGATGCTAAATTACCCCAGCTGTGCTGGAACTTGTGACTCTCCTGCCTCAACCTCCCATAGTGCTGGGGTTATAATTGTGGTCCACCATGGCTGGCATCAGTTTTCTCTTTTGTAAAATAAAATCTACCTTGCTGGGTCTACATTAGTTAGCTTTGCCATCACTAAAACAAAATATATGACACCCACAACTTGGAGGAGGAGAGACTTAATTCGGCTTGTTGTTTTAGAGGGTTCAGTTCATGGTCTAGTGACCCCAAGGCAGGAACATCACGGCAGAAGGATGTGGCAAAGCAATTCTGCTCCTTCCTGGTGGCCAAGAGATACAACACAGAGGAAAACACCAAAGAGGATAGAGTCCCCACAGGCGCACCTCAATGACCCATGAAACGGACTCAGAAGTGTACTTTACTAATCCTCCAGGCAGTTTTAAAGCCAGCCAAGTTCACAAATGAAATTGCTGATGTGAATGCTTGAGGCCCAAGTCCAGGTCTGGGTTCTTCTGCAGCCACGTTGAATACGGGTAGACTCAGGAAAATGTAGTGTACTCAGAGGCTGCTGTGCCAGGTCAACAGACCACATGGCATCCCACCTTGCCGGGCTGACTCCCATGGTCACAGCCCACCAGCTGCCCCAGGCAGAACACAGTTAAGGGGCACTTTCACAACAAGAAACCAAAGTTACCAATATAGCCCTGTGGAATACAGCGGGCAGGCTGGAAAAAAGCAGTGTCTCTGAGTCCTCAGGCTCCCTCCCCACCAGGCATTACTCACCAAGGGAGGGAGGGAGGGAGCTCTTATGTCCATCTGACCCCACCTTGGGAGGGGCCCCTCGGTCTCACACTGCTGGTTTCTCCTTTAGAAACTGACAGACGCTTGGGCCTGACCAGGAAATCCTCCCTCCACCACTCCGGGGGTAAACTCTGACTGCCACCGCTCCCCAGTTGTCATTTGTCCCTGGTTGCTCCTGGCGTCCATGGAGATGTCAGAAATTTAGGGACCACGCAGGAGCCTCCCGAGAACACCCAGCACTCGCCCTCACACACGGCCAACCCTCATGTGCACGCCAGCCTCAGTGACCCCAGGGAGCTGGAGGTTATTTTACAGAGGAGGAAACTGAGGCTCAGAGAAGTTCAATAACTGCCCTGAGGCCGCCCAGCTGAGAATCAGAGTATTTGAATACAGCAGTCTGGCTCTGGAGATAGCGGCCGAGCATTCCTGTGGTGAGGACTTGGTTCTCTAGGGGTTCTCGTGGTCACCCCCTACACAGAGCCTTCCACAGGGAGCATTCCTGGCCTTGGGATCCCCCTTAGTCACCTCACTTGCGGTGCTGGCTCAGGCATGCTACCCTCCCACTATGATGTGGCTTCTTAGGGACAGAGGCCATCTCTTCCAGCTTTCCTGTTCTGTCGGCTATGCAGACTTAGTTGCCGGCAGCCTTTGACCTCTGAGCCCCTGGTGCAGGGTCTGAGCTGGCGGGGTGGGGAGGTCCCTGTCTCTTTACTGTACCTTGGAGAAATTGGGAAAAGTGATTTCCTGTGACACGTGAGCATCCTTAGCCAAAAGTGGCCAGCTGTCACCAGCACAACATCAAGGAGGGGACAGCATGGAGAACTTTCCATCAAGGACCAGAGCACCTCAGAGATACCAGCCCAGTTCTGTTCCTGGCATTTGCATTCACATTCCTTGTGTCATGCCAAGCACCCTGGGTGATGCCAGTGTGGAAATGAATGAATGAATGAATGAACAAACCAAGGAAAGAATGAACAGATGGACCCATATTTTTAAATACCATCTCTAAGGCAGAATCCATTCTCCCTGCACCTAGAATGTGCCCGGCAGGCAGACCCTCAGACAGGGCTGGCAACCAGAGGACAGAGCTGCACCTGGGCAGACCCCAAAGGAGGGGAGCTGGGGTCGCTCATCCAGGAATGGAGCTCCATAGGGGCAGCACCCTCACTGACCCATTGCATCAGCTCAGAAGGACCAATAATTCAGGGATTCCTAAATCCACAAGACCCCTGGGATTATCGCCAGCTGCATCCCCTTCCCCTCAGGGCCACACTGCTAACACTCAGGGTTTGCCATGGTTGTCATCTGCTGGGGGTGCTCCCTTGGGCTTCCAGCTGCACTATATCCCCGGGCTCCAGAGAATCCACCCAATACCCATCGCAGTTCTCTAGACCACATTATGGTCCCTTGAGGGGATTCCCTAGAAGGGGTGAACCTGGGTCTTTACAGATCTGTGGTTGAAAACCAACCCTTACAGCTATGTGGCCTTGGACAAGTTAATTCCTAGAACTGAGAAGAGATGCCATCCCCACCTCAGAACCACTGGGAACAAGAGCCAGAGATGCCACATGGTACCTCAGCTAGTGTTCCCTGGCCTATCCCCCAGCCCATCCCTCATTTCGGGTAGAGGGACCACATCTTCCCCACCCACCTCTGGAGCATTCCCCTTGACGAAGAAGCGCTGTGCTTCTGCTCAACACACAGGGGATCCAAAAAACTAGAGTGGAACATCAAACAGAAAATTCACCTCCTGCAGGAGGAGCTGATTCTGACAGCCAGACAGCCCTAGGAGTCCAGAGGGAGTGGCCTGGTCAGACACACGGACTGTGCCCTGCTCCCAGGTGCCCTACCCTTCTGCCTCACCTGTCACCTATGTCAGTACCCAGGGGCCCCCACCACAGAGCACCTGCCCTCGTCTTGACAATGCCTCAGCCACAGCAGCCACAGGTGAGTGAGGAGCTGGTCCCAAGAGGACCTCAGAGCAGAGGAAGAGACCAGAGCTCCCCTCTCCTGTGAAGGAAAATAAAGTGAATTAAATTAAATAATGCAAGTAAGACCCAATCACTTGCAAGGCTTCAATGTACCTAATTACAGAGGAAGAATCCATCACAGTTTAGCCTATCTAAAAAGAGAAAAAAACCCTTCCTGTGGAAAACCAAAACTCATTTTTGTTTGTTTATTGGAAGTTAAACCTCTCAGCTCTGCAGTGCAATTTCAGCATCCTGGTGACTTAATCAAAAGGTAGGGGGGTCCTGGCCCACTGCAAAGTGCACCGCATGATTTTCCAGGCATCTATTCAGTTCTAACCAGAGTGAATCTCTTCCTCTGAAAAACAATGAAAATGTGGGTAATTAGCATGTAATTGTTAATGGGTAATTTCATAGGGGGTGAGCGGAGTTCATAACATCGTTCTGAATATGTTTGCATTTAACGGATCTCCCGTTTCCTCGCTTTCGTCTGGGATTTGTTTTTCTGTTTCCTTCTTTTTTTTTTTTTTGTTGCTGTATCTGTAATTATTTTAATTGAGATCTTCCCCTAATGGAAACAAAGAATGGCATTTGTGGGAGACTTGGCTTCTGGGGCCACCCAGTTGCTAGTGACCCATCCTCTGTGAGCCCTCAGGGACCCACAGCCTCGGGGGCTTCTGCCCTCCACCCCAATCTCTAAGTGGGCGTTGTAGACAGCAGTACTGGCTGGTACACATGCGGATGAAGTTGTGTGTGTGCATGTGCACGTGTGTGTGTGTGTGTGTGTGTGTGTGTGTGTGTGTGTGAACAGAGGTGTGTTTTCGCGTCTCCCCTCTGTGACCCATCTGCCCCAGGTTGGCACACTGGATGGCAAAGGCAGCTCTGTGAGCCAAGAGCCCTGGACCACAGTTCCAGTCCTCTGCTGTGAATCAGGGCTGGGCCCTGGGCAAGCTTCCTCCAGGTTCCCAGCTACCCCGCCTTGAAGCCTTTCTCCCCAGCCAAGCACCGAATTCCTGCCCCCTTCTTAGGGACTCCCCCATGGAGTGTCCCATCTGTTACCAAGAGGAATACTTATACCCCTGTGCCCCGATCCTCAAAGAGCCTCATTCTAGAAGCTTCCACTGCACGTGGAACTGTATCACAAAAACACAAAAAAGAGGACGCTGGTAGGCACAGCCTCAGGGCACAAAGGAACAGAGGCCTGGTGGAAGAGGAAGGGGGCCACCCCCACAGTGTCCTCTGGAGGGCACCCTTTTCCCAGGCAGCTCTGGGCTCCCAGCCCTTACCTGCCCTGGTCCTAATCCTGTTTCCTTGTTGTTCAGTCTGCTCTGCCCAAGACCCAGGGCCTCGGGGTTCCACACTGCCAGCCTGCTCAGGGGACCCCAGTTTGTGGATGCACTCTCCCTCCATAGTTGGACTCTGAGGTCTGCTGGATGCTGCTAACCAGCGCTGAGGCTGGACATTTGACCAGACTCTCTGAGATGCAGCTCAGGGTGGCTGTGTAAAACCCGCCAGGAAGCCCAGCTAGGGACATGAGGTTGTCCGGGGCCAGGCCAGCAAGGAGCCAGCAGCAGGACAGATATTTGGGGTCATAGCTGTGACATGAAGATTTGGGTGAGATGATCCTACCAGCTGAAACCTCTATCCCTGTGTGACCACGCAGCCCAGCCTGCTCTCCACAGCCCCTCCCCTGCAGCTAATGAGGGCCCCAAGGTCTAGGACACAGTGTGGCCTCTGCACAGAAGGCAGGGCCTCAGGACAACAGGGACACAGCAAGCAGAGACCTGGCTGGCCACCAGGCAGCAGGGGCACCGTCTTCTAGAACCAGCCTAACCCCCCCCACTCCTGGCCATAGAACTCCTCCCCAGAGTGCCGAGAGGCTGGAGGCGGAAACTCCACCCTGATTTTTCATTGTTTTTATAGAAAAGTTAGTTTCTGCCAAAAGGGAAAGATTAAAATGGGAACAGCGCCCACCCCTTGGGGATTGTTATTCTCTTCATCGGACCTCCCTGGCCGAGCCTGACACTGCTCCAAAAGTCCTTCCCAGGCCTGGGCTGAGGAGGCCTCAGCATCTCTGCTCCGGAGCTGGGGCTAGAGTTAGAGTAGCAGGTCCCCTGGACATTTGGATCAGAGCAAGACAGGGCAGGACCAATCCAGATGGCCTGTGAGAGAGAGGAGAACACAGAATACACCCAGAAGTGCCTGCCCCCCAGACTCTCCATCACATCTAGGTTGGGGTCCAGTTTTAAAAACCTGTCAGTAGGGGCTGGGGATTTACCTCAGTAGCATAAACGCCTGCCTTGCAAGCATGTGGTTGTGAGTTTAATCCCCGGTACCAATGAAAGAAAAGCCTGTCAGTTGTAGAACATACCCCTCTTTCCTTGAGGATCCCCCCTTTCCTTGGAAAACCCATATCCCATGTTTGGTGTTTCACATTCACTTTCTAGCTCCCTCTGGAGGTGGCCCTTCTCCCCCCTTGGAGGCTGGGTACCAGTGTTGGAGCTCCCACCCTCCCAGACCTCCTGGCACATCCCCTCCAGCTTGCCATCCTCCTGTCCCAGGCAGGTGGCATCTCTTGCTCCAGCCTCTGCTTTGGGAGGGTCAGGTGAAAGGTACAGTGGGCACCCACACCGTGGTCAGTTGATGTGATGGTGCCCTTGCGCACCAAGAGGACGAGAGGCGGTCACTACCACCCAACACCTCTGGGGAAATCCAAGGAGGAGATGTGGTGAGTGAAAGCCATGTGGCCTCTCACCTAGGGGCAACGGGGAGGGCATGCATGCCAGCCACCGACAGCAACAAGCCTCGAGCCGCAGGCGTCTCTATCTCTGGGCACGTCGCTCCTCCCCAGTGCCTTGGAGCCAGCTGACATGGACTGATTCCCCTGAAACCATGAGTCCAGTTAAAGCTCCCTTCCTGCCCTGGGCCATGAGTGCAAGCACCAAAAATGTTCCCAAAAAGCAACCTCATCCCAAGCCCAGCCCAGTGACCTTCCACCTAGAGAAGACAACCTGGTGCCCAGGGTCATCCGGTTCCAGTCCCCAGAGAACATCAAAATCTACAGATGCTCAAAATCCTTATATAAAATGGTGTGTGCAGTCAAGCACAGTGGCACACACACTGTGATCCCAGCACTCCAGGAGATGCGGCAGGGAGGTTCCAAGTTCAAGCCCAGTCTGGGCAATTTAGCAAGATCCTGTCTCAAACTAAAAGGTAAAAATGAGCCGGAGATGCAGCTCAGTGCAAAGGGCCTGGGTTCACTCCCCAATGCCAAAACACAAACAACAACAACAACAAAACCCAAACACTTCCTTCTGAGCTCTTTAAATCATCCCCAGGTGACACCTTATAATGCCTAACATAAGGCGAGTGCTATGTAACTAGTTGTTGTATTGATTTTTATTTGTATCATTTTTATTGTAGAATTATCTCTTTATTTTTTATTATCCTAGGGTATTTTTTCCCCCTCAAACATCTTCTCTCCACCATTGGTTGAATCTACAGAGGCAGAACCCAAGGGCCAACTGTATTCAGATGCAGGTACTGGAGCCAGGTAGACTCTGTTTCCCAGGGAGTCCAAAGTAAGACAGAAGGAAGGTGATCCCACAGTCCCCCTCTTCTCTCTCCACAGGCACAAATGCATCCCGTTTCTCTGCCATGTCTTGCTGGGGAGTAGTGGAGAGCATTTAGTCTCTGAGAGTTTCTGTTTGCTCGTTCTAGAAGCCAGGGTACATCTTGCTGGTTCCGGGTGCTGTGCAGTCTTGCTTTGTCTGGAGGAATTGGCTGGCTCAGGCTGCGGATGCAGTCTGGGGGTGATGGTTAATCTCAGGTGTCAACTTGTCCGGGTTTATGGGTTGTGGGAGACATCTCCAGTGACTCCCTTTGAATCCAGAACAATTGCTGTGACTTTGATTACTTGGAAACTCATTTCCTTATGCTGATGTGTAAAAGGCTGGCTAGGGTATTTCCTTCTCTCTTCAATTGGCGCTGAGCATTGCAAATAAGGCTAGCTGAGGTGCTAATGTGCGAAGTCTATAGCCGGCAGACAGCCCTGTTTCCTCACAGGGTCTTCTCCACAGTACAGGATTGAGCTAGAGAGATTAGAGCAAATAGCTCCGGGAATGTCAGCTGGGTAGAGCCTCATCATCAGAGGCTATGACTCTCCAGGGCACAAGAGTTTGCATATCAGAAACCAAAGCCCCCCAAAACAATTCCACTGCTACCATAATTGGGATATGTAAATTGATCCTTCTGCATATCTTTATCTCTGCAAATTACAGAGATGCCATTCTTGCACCTGGCCAGCCAGCTCAAGTTACTCAGCAATCCCTGAGCCACTCCTCTTTCTTCACAAGAGAATAAATGCTGGGAGAGGTCTAGGATTGAGGCCTTTGTCTGCATGTCCTCATGGGGATTGGATTTAGGACCCTTTGGCTGCCCTTAACTTGGAACATGTCTTGGTGTCTTTACTCTCCCCGTTGGTTGGATTGGTGATGGTAGATTGAATTAACCTGCTGGGGTTCCAATAACGTCTCAATGGAATTATACATATAACTTTTTGGATTGTGAGAAAAACTACAAAGAGGATTATAATACTTGGATGACTGAACTCGGTATTTGGGTTTACAATAATGGATGCCAGACATTTCTTCTGGGTGTTTCCAGGAGAGCCTGGCATCTGAATCAGTAGACTGAGTATGCCAATTAGGACAGAATTTGAACTTGATTGGCTTTGGGTGCTACCCAGGGAGCTAAAGGAGCACATTGGGTCAGTCGTGGGAGTGTGAGCTGGGGCACAATATCATACCTCACCCATCCTCTCTGCTACCTTTCCTCTGTTCTGTTTCCCAGTTACCAAAACTAAATACCAGGGCTGGGGATTTAGCTCAGCGGCATAAGCGCCGGCCTTACAAGCAGGCAGTCATGAGTTCGATCCCTGGTACCAATAAAAATGAAAAAGAAAAAAAAAAAAAAAAAAAACTAAATACCTTTGCTCCACTATGATGTTCCTGCCTTAGAGCTAGCTGACCATGGACTGATTCCCCTGAAACCATGAGCCACATTCAAGCTCCCCTCCTTTAAATCATGAGGGTCAAGTATTGTCTCCCAGCAATGCTAGAGCTGACCAGTACAATGAGTAAAGAGCTGGGCAGCCATCAGTGGGTTCATTGGGGCAGACAGAACAGAGGGGTGGCAGCAGGGCACCCCCTCTCTCTACTTGAGTTGAGTTCCCCATCTTCTGCTACCACTGACACTGGAAGATACCAAAACTCCTAGAGCCCTCAAACTCCAGCACTCTGTCCCCAAGCCCTCTCCCTGGATCTCACCTCCTGGGCTCCCTGGCTTTCAAGCCTTTGGACATAGACTGAGCCACACCATTGGCTTTCCAGGGCCTTCACCCCATCTGACACTCCCTGGCCTAACATTTACTTCTGACATAGGGAAAGCAGATGGCAGGTACCAAATCAAATTAATATGAGCTAACCAGGAAGGTAACTTGAGATTAGGGTCCCTGAAAAAAAAAATTAAGACTGAAGGAAACAATCAAGGGGGACAAAAGCCTTTCTTTATGAATTTGTACCGCTACAAGGAAAATTAACTTATTCTGAGTGCCCCTATCTTAGCCCATGCGTGCTGCTATAATGAAATACCCGAGACCAGGTGGTGTATAAAGAACATTAACTTCTCACCGTATTGTGAGCAGCTGAGGGGGAAGGATCACGCATTTGAGTCTAGCTCAGTAAGACTCTGACTTAAAATGAATTTTTTAAAAAGGTCCTAAACTTACTTACTTTGAAATAAGTTCTTTTATGACTCAGTCCCCGCAAAGGCCCTCGCTCCAAATGTGACAGCACTGGCGGGGTGCATTCCTTGGTGGTGGGGGATTGGCAGAGGACACCACCACTCGAGCCATCACAGACCTCAAGGGATGACACTGAGATGGACACTGTAGGAAGCCCAAAGCGGAGTCTCAGCCTTAACTGTCTCAAGGAGGCCTGAGTGACCACGGAAAGCCCCCAGGCCTCCGTACCTGGAGAGTGACAAACACGGCCGATGCAGATACCAAGTGATACAAAGGCCTCAAGGATGGGGCCGAGACTTCCTGGGTCCCCCATGCACGGAGAAGCCAGCAGAGTAGGTCCGTGCATCTGATCTTCGATAATATGCACTGTGCACTTGTACCAGGCCACTCAGGAGGCCTCGAAGAAGGCAGGAAGGGAGCCAGGCAGCCTCAGTCCCCTGCGGTCAGTGAGTAACAGGACCTCTTGCAGGAAGCAGCCTGCCCACAGGCTGGTCCTCAAGCCTGCTCTCTGGGGTACCTCACCCACAACCCCTGTACCCCACCACTCCAAAGAGCTTATGAAACATTGTCTAGCTACAAAGGAAGTCTGGGAAATTGCTTTTTTTTTTTTCTGCACTGCAGTTTGGAGTTCAATCTAATGTCCCAATGACAATGTAGGGCCTCTGACTCTAAAATTCATAGATCTGCTCCCACCCATCGCTCCCTGTAAATGAGGCTGGCTGGACCAAATCAGATGGGTAGTCCCCCTTCTTCACTCTGTGGGTGACCGCCAGAGGTATCCTCCTGTCCCGTCACCAGAAACTGCCTTCCCCAGCTGGACTCTCCTGCAGACCCCTAGAGTTAGCTTGGAGGACACCATCCAGTGACCAAGTTTCTGAGATGACTCCAGGCCCTCCAAGACCCCAAGTCCTGGAAGCTGTCCTGCTGAGGCCTCAAAGATGCAGAAAATTGGCTCCTCACGCTACTCTGCCGGTCAAGATCAGAGTTCCCTGGTTGTGGCACAGCACTTGGCCACTATGTGAGTTGTGGCAAGCTTACAGTGATGCAAACAACTCGCATCCACACACTACAGTACGAATGGTGCCCAGTGGATCCAACCGAACGCAACAGACCACTGTGCACACTGACCAGGTGAGTCTGTTTGTAGACTGACTCTGCATTCCCAATGTTGATGCCCTGGTCCTGCCTTTGAACCTCACACCAGCATGCCAGTGCCTTCATCAAGGAGTTAAATTTTTGACACGTATTCAATTTCAATTCCTATGACCATCTTGATCTTACCTTTTGTCAAAATTGTCCTTTAAAAAGGATGGATCTCTAGCTGGATAAGATTTGAAGACAGAATTATCAGGCTCTGTCCAAGTACCTCCTTACCTTCCCCTAGCCCCTCTGTCCAGGCCTTAGACATTCACCCTGTGGCTAAGTCCAAAGTGCCCCAGGGTTCTCTGTCTGTGAGGATTATCACTTGCTGAGAGACCCTCCCTCAGGTAGCCTACCACTTGCTGCTGCAGCCTGTCTCTGCCCTGACTCCAGGTCTTTATCCCGTCACCATAAGACCTGGTGATTCCACTTCCGGATTACACCCAGGAGGAGAGAATGTGTTGCATTCAAACTGAAATTCGAGCCAGGCTCTGTGCTGGACCCAAGTTAGATGTGGCTCCTTGGGCTCAGAGAGCTCAGTCCAATGGCTGAATCAAACATGAAGCAAGTGCACACTGAGCCCACAACAGCATGCTATAAAGATCTATCAAGAAGGACTGGGGATTTAGCTCAGCAGCATAAGCACCTGCCTTGCAAGCAGGCAGTCATGAGTTCAACCCCCGGTACCGGAAAAAAGAAAGCTCTATAAAGAAAAAAAACAAATTATTAAAAAAAAATAACAGTGAGCAACAGATCCTTTTTAAGACAATTACAGAAAATTAAGTCTGGCCTAAATACCAGAGCATGTTAAGCAATTGTTGCAGGGGGCAGTGAGACACTGAGAGTTTGTGTTTTCGAGGTCCCACACACTAGGGATTCACGAGCTGATATCTACAGATTTAGTGATAGCAGGTCTTCATTTTCTTTAAAGTATACAAGCCCAAATTTGGGAAATTAAAAGACAGGATTTTAGGTATTTTTGAAGCTGATGGCATGTCCAGTGGGGTTTACTATTCCGCCGCTGTTTGTGTGTGTTTGGTAATTTCTTTAATAAAAAGTTTTGTAGAAAAATGAAAACAATTTTGCCCACCGATGTTCACGGCAGCGTTGGTCACACACCCGAAAGGTAGGAAGAGCACCAAAGTCCATCCACTGACATGCGGAGACACAAAGGTGGCTGGCAAGGAGGGACAGCAGGAAGTTCAGACCCAGGCTGTAAAGCGCTGAGCCCTGAGGTGAAGAGAGCAGGGTACAGAGGCCACATGTCACGTGCTCCTATTCATAGGAAGGGTCCGGAGAGACAAAGGGCAGATTAGCGGTTTCTTAGGGTCAAGGGAGAGGGGATGGGCCAGGGGAGACAGAAAAGGCTGCAAAGTGTCTTTCTGGGGAATGGACATGCCCTGGTGCTGATGAGTGGTGGCCAACATGTAAAGCCCAATGAAGCAGACTGTGGCTCCCCAAGCCCGACTGCTCCCTACAACCCCCACATGCTGCTTCCTCTGCGTGGGTCTCTGGCTCTCTTTGTGGAGCCAAATTCCCTCTTTTTGTAAGAATACTAGTCACACCAGTGTGGGATCACCCCAGTTGGGTCGTTTTAACTTATGTACCTCTTCGAAGATCCTGTCTCCCAATATAGTCACAGGCCGAGGGAACTGGAGGGCAGAGCCTCATGGTGAGGTACACAGATTACACCTCAACACAACTACTTAAAAATAAGTGAAGGATGTCTACAGCTTTTCCAAAAGGGGGATCCTGTTTCTCTCCGAGGATGACCATACTTTAAGCACCCCCTTATTTCTCCAGCTCACTGTTCCATCTGCCCCCACTCTCAAGAGCACATGAACTCCTCCTCTCCAGGGGTCATAGCCCCACAAGACAACAGAAATCCCTGTAACCACCCACAAGGGAACAGCTCCATCCATATCTCTGAGCTCTGTGAAGCCTTCCACAGCTCCCACCCAGTCTCAGGGCCCTGTCGCCAGGGCAGGCTTCAGCCCTGATCCCAGGCAGCCCAGGTGCACCTCACACAGGCCGGAAGCCTGGCCTAAGTGGGAGCACAGAAGCTGGGGTAGGCTGGGGCTTGTGCTCGACTGCAGCATCCCAAGGGTCCCAGAGGTACGACCTGAACACAGGATAGGGACAAGGGTACTCTTGACAGACTGTGGGCAGGGCTCCGCTTCTCTGCCAAGCAATCTCACTCAGCAGGCTGCTCGCAGGAGCCTGCAGCCCCTGTTCACACGCCAGGATGGCAGTGACCTGGGGGATTTGGGCTGCCTCCCCTCCTGCTATGAATCGCCCTTCTGTGCACTGATCTTGGGATTGGCTCTGGATAGTAACTAATTAGTGTAAATCCAGTGATGCGGAGGTTACCTGTTAGGAGGCTGCTGTTGACATTAGATCATTAGAGGTGATGAAAACCTTCCCAAGAGCTCCCCGGGTCTCAGTTCCAGCTTCCCCTACAAGTCTGGTCTCATAGCCTGGGAAGCATAATGGGGTGAGAGTCTGGTGAATTTGGGGTGGTACCTGCCATTTGGTCCCCACAGGTTGACCTACGGGCTCTAATGCAAGGTCTGGACCAGAGGAATCCTGGCCAGGACCACAAAGATGGGAGATGCAGACCCAATTTTGATGGCCTCTGGGGTCCAGGGGACTGAGGGGCCCCAAGCTAAAACTCATTCACTACAGGGCAGGATTCTGAAAAAAGGGCTGGGGCCAGGTCAGTAAGAGGCAGGGTGCCCCCTTGGCACTGTGCTGGGGTCTCTGGAAACCTACTTCATTCATTCATCCATCCTCCAAATTCTCTCCTAAGCATTAAAGCCAGACACATCTGTATGCTCAGGGCTCAGCAGGGCTGGCAGTTTTGCCTTCTGAGTTTATCCAGATCAGCCAGCTCCTCCTCTTCCCGTGATGTTAATCTTGACGTGTCGACTTCATTGGATGAAAGACTGTCTAGCAGATTAGTGGTGCACACTGCCACATGTATCCTGGGGTACCGCAGACCTCCCTCCTCCTCCTCTTGGGTGCTGCTCTCTGCTCTGCTTCCTGGCTGCCCTGAGTGGCACAGCTTTGCTCCATGGTGCCTTTCACCATGACATTCACGCCTTGGAGCCTGTTAGCTGTGGACTGAATCTTTACAGGGCAAGGAGAATGAACCTCTCCTCCTTGAAGCTGTGGGTAGTATGACATCCAGCATGGACAAGCCAACTAGTGCATCACCCAAGCCATGACTGAGGTTCAAGACAACCAGATACTATGATCTCTACCCTGCCCTCTGCACAGCCCCATGGTGTCCCTAGCCACTGCCCCACTGTGCCCACACATGGCCATCTCCAGGGCAGCAACCTCCTGACTCCTGCAGACCCCTCTGCTGGCTCCCAATGCCCTCACAGCTGTCCCCCACCTGCCTGGCACCTTCTGCCTGCCAGCACTGAACTTGTGGTCTCCTCTTCTGGACCCTTTTCCCAGAGCATCTGCCCTGCTCTCTCCTTGCCTTTCCTGCCCACGCTGTCCACACTGTCTACGTGGGTTGGTGGACTTTCTTTCCATGAAAGGCCAGATGGTAAATATTTTCAGCTCTGCAGCTTGAGCAGTCTGTGGCAAGTCTTCAGCTCAAAAGTGGTTGGTTACAGCTTAACCAGAGAAGCAGGGCTACATCCCTAGTTAAACTTTATAAACACAGATTCTGATGGACAACAGCTTGTTCATGGCTGACCTCAAAACAATTTTTGCCGTTCACGTACCTGTCCCAGCTTCATTGTTGTTGGGAGCAGTCAATGCCAGGTGACGCTGTGGAGATCTCTCTCCTAGTGACACATGTGCTCTATGAATACGAGGGTTCTGCCTAGTTTGCTCATTATTGTAAACCTGAGACAATGCCTGCAGATAATAGTCCTAAGTGTATTAAAAATAGACAAATAAATGAAAAGGTCACCGGCTCTTAAATATTTAATGAAAGTAACAGAACATCATAGCCAACACACATCAAGTGTTTTCTGCCAAGCCAATCAGGAAACAGAGCCATGCAGATGGCAGAGCTTAAGACCCAAGGGCTCAAGCAGTGGAACCAACGGGCCCATGCCTGTGTCTTCACTACTATGAAGCAGACTGAGATCTTGAGCACGGCCCCAGCCTGACTTCCTCTCTCGCACCTCCATAGCCCCCTTACCGTGTGCCCTTGGCCGGACTCTCCAGCTTGGTCCCTGGGTGGCCGTGGCCCAGTGACCTCACAGATGCTCGGATGCTTCTCTCTGCGACGCATCCCCAAAAGGCCAACCGAGTGGTCCCCACTGCTTATCTGTCCTAGAGCGCCAGGGCCAGTCTCTGACTGCCAGTTGCCCCCAGAAAATCACAAGGGCTCCCACTCAAGAACAGAAAGCAGTGTAACAGCTTTTATGGCAAATTTGCCTCCACAATGAAATTGAAGTTTTGATCTGAACCAAGATTTGCTGCAAAGGGGAGTTGTGCAAAGGCATGGACCTCTGATATCCTGGTGAGAAAATCTGTCATTTCCCTGCTGCCACCTGGTCTTATCTGTCTCTGCCTTGTGACTCAAAAGCCAGCCTGTGGTCCCCATGGTATTCATGAAGATGCCCCATGCTTTGCCTGACGCTGAGGCCAGGTCACACGGCAAGCGCCAGGGAGCCGATGTGCTTTGACATCTGCAGACCCAGGCGCTTGCCTCTTGGTTTCTCTGCACAGAGACAAGGAAGGACAGGTGGGGGCCGCACAGCCTTCAGTCTAAGCTGGGAGACCTGGGACTCACAAGAAAGGCCTTATTTGGAAGGGAAACTCTTCCAAGTCCCAGCATCATGAGTCAAGCAGCAGGAATGCTTGTGACATTTTATAACAAATAATAACAATCCCTTACCTCTGTGGGCTTCTTAATAGTCTGTCATATTAGCTCATTTGACCTGTACAGACCTGTGGGTGGGCCGGTCCCAGGTTTGCTCCATGAGGTACACAGAGCTCAGACAGCCTTGCCCAAAGTCATAGGGGGAGGGCGCAGCTGGAGGGAGCCTGGACCTGGCTCTGGCCTCCAATCAGAGCCCTCAGACACAGCCTGCCCACCTGTCTGAGACACCAACAAGGGCTCAGGTGACACTTTACCAGTAGACAAGCCGAGAGTCCCCTGCTAAATGGGATGCAGGAGAACCAAATGAGTAAGATGTGGCTGTGAATTCTTCAGGCTGGGAGGGAACTTTCCCAGAGCCGTCTGAGCCAGGCATGGTGCACACACACACCTCCAGCTTGGGAGGCTGAGTCAAGAGGATTGCAAGTTCAACATGTTCAAGATCAGGCTGGGAAACTTAGCAAGATCCTATCTCAAAATAAAAAATGGACTTCCAGGAGAACATGGAGGATAGATAGCAGCAGCCTCAGAGGCTCTCTTAAAATCCAGGAATGGTGCCGGGCAAGAAATCCTAAGCAAGGGGAGATATACCCTGCCGACCCAGGAATGAACTAAACTAAGAGAAACCAACTGGAAACGCAATCCCGGTGATACAGCAGGAACAGATAAGGTCTCAGTGTGGAAGCTGGACCCCGCACCACTGGAAGCTGTGATTTGAATTTCCTGCAGTCGCTGCTGCATCCCAATCAGCGCAGCAAGGAGAGAGGCACGAAAGCTCTGAGAGTGGGAAGCGGTGAATGGAGTTGAGAGCGAGACTGGCAGGAAGCCCTGCATCGACCTGCGGTGAATGAGCGGATTGGGGACCCTTCCATAGAGTAGGAGGCTTCAGCAAAGGACATACTGGAACCAGGCAGACTACCCGGAACAGGTTGCTGCAGTGACTTCAGTGACATATTCCCCTCTCAAGTGGGATTGGTGGGAAGCGCCTGGCCTGTGTGATGCTGCTGACTAAGACCCAGTAGGCTAGTCCAAACCAGGTCCCTGAACCTGGAGGTGCACCCTAGCAGTGAAGCCTTCGGTAGGTTGACCTAGAGGGGCAGGCCAAGCATAGGCTGCCCAGGCCTCTGTCTCCCTAGTGCACTGCAAAGGGTGGGAACACCTAGCCGGTGCAATTCAAACTGTAACCGACAAAGAAAGAAACTGGGCCTCCTATATTTGCTTGTATAAAAGGAACAAAAAATATGGGAAGAGGGAGGAACAAGAAAGGGTCCTCGGCCCCCAATCCTGAGAAACATGCAGTATCAGACACGGCACCAATAGACATAAAGCGCTATCTCCAGAGCCTCATAGACGAGTTCAGGAATGAAGTTATTAACGACCTGAAGCAAGATATAAGTAGAATAGTTAGAGAAATGCTAAGCACTGCCCAAGAAAAAACAGATGGTGGAATGGAAGAGCAGAAAAAAAGGGGAGAATTGTTTGATGGAGAAAATAGAGAAAACAGAATACGTGAAGCAGGTTCAAAGAGATTACCAGGAAACTAAAAACTATCGAAAACTGGCATAACAGCTTGAAAGAAACTAAGGATAGATTATCTGAACTGGAGGGCAGATTTGTAATATGGGAGCATGAAATGAAAAAACTTCTTAAAAATAACAAAAAACCCAAACAGCAATAATACAAAGGCTAGAAGATGCTAAGAGGATCTGTAACTTAAGAATTAACATAAAAGAAGAAGTAGGGACACAAACAAATGGACTACAAAAGCTATTCACAGAAATAATCCAAGAGAATTTCCCTAACTTAGCAAAAGGTAAAGATACTCAGATGTATGCAGCATACAGGACCCCAGCCATCTACAACACAAACAGAGCTACACCCAGGCATATAATAATCAAAATTCCAGAAATCCAATATAAGAACAGAATATTAAAAGCCGTCAGAGACAAGAAACAGATCACTTACAAGGGAACACCCATCAGAATTACAGCAGACTTCTCGGCACAAACCATCAAATCATGAAGAGTGTGGGGGGAAATAATTTAAGCTTTGAAACATAATAACCTGCAGCCAAGATTGATATATCCTGCACAACTATCCCTGGAAATTGATGGAAAAACAAGGTGCTTCCAGGATAAAGAGGAACTAGGGGAATGTGCAACCACCAATTCAACTTTACAGAAATACTGCAGGATATTCTAAAAAAGGAAAATACCAAGATTCCAGAAATAGTGGCAAGAGAGGCCACCATGAACGGAGCAGAAAGCGAAATGAAGAAGACAAATTGACAACAAACAACAGAAAAAGAGCTCAACAGAAATGAGGCAGAGAAGATCGGATGGTAGGAACAGCTATTTTGGAGAAAACAAGACATCATAATAGCTAGTGCTGATTTAGTATCATTTTGTTTTGAAGTACTATCAAACTTGTATTCTTCTGTCTCCATCGGTCTTAAAAGGTTGCATCTTATTGGATTTTATTATATATGATAATATAAGTAAAAACTTTTATAGACAAGGAGATTATACAGAAACCATTGTTCATTTTCTGTTAATGGGTTCTAAATACCCTGTAATAATGTCATTCTCTTGAATGGTTTTATAGTGTCTTGATATGTTTGGTGCTACAGTATACGAAGTTATACTCAAAGAGTTCAAGGAAAGACACACTATGGTAACTATTTTTATGTCAGGATATCTTGTGGTGAAACACTATTGTGCTTAAATGGTTATGATTTGACCTGCGCTGGTCTGTTGTTATGCCCTCTTTTATCTCAATCCCCCCCCCCTTTTTTTAAATTATTTACTTTTTTCTTTTTATCTTCTTAATTAAGGGATAAATAAATAAAAAATAGCAGGATACATTATAGTAACCTACTTTGATTTCCTATTAACTTGATTTGAAACCCTGTATTGCCCTCACCATCTTGTTTTGACTGATTTTCCCCTATTCTGCTTTGCTTGATAGTACCAAGTTCGAAAGTATAGGCAAAACTGTGAAGACAATAAGATTCATTATGATGCCCATTCCGGTTGACTATTATCTTCTTTTAAAGTCCTGTAATGTCTCCAATGCTTTGGTTTTATTCTTTACTGTTTTGTTCAATTTTATTATAACTGGAAATTCTTCTTAAAATAGCAAGAGGCAGTATGGTAACCATTGTTGATCACCTTGTATTTTGTTTTTACATTATCTATTATGTCCATCCTTTTGATTTGACTGACTCTGTTCTGATATGTTGCATTTGGTTTTACTCTCTTCAAAAAAAGTAGTAAGAACTGTGGGAGTAATAAAACCCAAAATGTGTAATTGTCATTGTACAAAAGAAAAAAAAAGAAAAGAAAGTGCTCTAAAGGTTATAACTGCATATATGTTTAAGTGTATAAGATAGATAACCATATTACTGAGTGTTTTTTTGGATCATTGAACAAAACTGTTTGCACTCTGTTTGAAAGTCCACTTTATATGCTTCAATTTTGTAACTTGAACAACTATTTCTAAGATGAGAATATGTAATCTATTAACTAGTGATTTCTTAAATTTATTTTTTAAATTTTGTATTACTTGTACCCTTTTTCTGTTTTTTTCTTTTTTTCCTTAAATAAAAAAAAAATAGAGAAAAAGGAAAAAAAAATGGAAGAGGGCGAGATGTAACTTCAGGAGACCATTCCCAGGTTCAGTCCCCAGTATGAGAGAGAGAAAGAGGGAGAGGGGAGAGAGGGAGACAGACCGGCTTTCAGACTGATGTGCACTATTCCTTGATGACATCTTAATTTACTTAGCAGTGGCTGCAGTGGCAACAATGTCACTGCAACCTCAAAGAACACGAAACTCTTATCTCATGGTTTCTGTGGGTCAGAAGGGGTCCGATGGGACCCAGCTGGGGTACAGCTGCTATCTCAGCTGAGAGCTGTGATCAAGGTCAGGGCTTTGATCAAAGTCGGGACTCAAGCTTATCTGAGGCCCTGCCCAGGCAGGACCTGCTTCCAGCCCACATGGTGGTCAGCAATGTTCATTCTGTTGCTCACGGCTTGTGGCACTCAGGGCCTCAATTTCTCAGTGGCTGTTGACCAGAGGCTACCTTCTGCTCCTTGCTCAATGAGGCCAGACCATCAAAGCCAGAAAAAGAGGAATCTGGGCAAGACAGATGTCTTGGTCTTGGTAATCACTGAAGTAACATCACCTTTGCTGTGCTGTGTTAGTTAAAATCCCAGATACTGTCATTTGATGCTATAGCATCAATGCCATTTGTCCCCTGAAGATTCATGTGTGCAGGTCATGGGACTTTAAGAAGTGGATCTTAAAGACAGGTAATTGGGCACACACTTGGCACTTTGAGAGGCTCTGGCCCAACCTTACAAAAATCGGTTTGCCCTTATAGGGCTGCTAAGTGACAGGAGGGTATCAGGAGACAAAGTCCTGACTCCTAGGGTCTCTCTGCCTCTTTATCTCTCTCTGCATTGCACTTGAGCCAAGGACACCAGATAGGCCTGGACCCCGTGTCCTGGGAGTTTGCAAACCCAAGACTATTTCTCCACTTTCCATGGGCTGCTTGGCTCTTGGGCTAAGCAGCCCAGCTGCGGTGTCCTCAGGATGAAAGGAGATGCACAAGGGTTTCCATGGGCCATGCCGGGCACCTGAAGGCTTTGCTGCCTGCTTTGACTGCGGGTTACTTTGGTCCTTCCCTGCACTTCAGAATGTAGTGAATCCCAGCAGGAACAAACCCACTCTAGGAGCTTGCTGGGTTGCCAGGTTCCTGATGATCAAATTCATCTCCGAGCTTCCTTGAGGGAGTTCTGAGTTCTTTGAGGGTGGGGAGATATCCACAGTGGCAACCCAGGCCTGACCGGGGGATACCCCGCACAACGCCGAGCGGGTGGTTGAGTATAAGGACAAGGAGTTTGGTTCAGATCCAGGTAGAACCCACTGGAACCCAGCAAGCAGGGAAGCGGAAAGTCTCTGGTTCAGATCCAGGTAGAACCCACTGGAACCCAGCAAGCGGGGAAGCGGAAAGTCTCTCGGGCTCCAGGAGGCCCTGATGCAGGCTGCTCCAACCCTGGAACTGAGGCTGGAAACCTCCGCCATCAGCCCAGATGCTTTCATCCTGCTGTCCCGCCTTCGAGGGACCCTCTGCCATCAGCTGTCTCCTGTTTCCTGTGCCTGCAACTTCTCCCTCCCGCAACTCCCACGTGATGAGCGTGCAGTAAGCACTCAGTGGAATAATGATTGTCACCTCACCCTGCCCTGCACGTGTGAACGTGCTCAAGGTTCCAGCACCTAAAAAAATTAAACCCTTGAAAATGTGTCAAATTGCTGGCTCCTGGTAACTTACGTCTGTCTTTGGATTTTTACATTCAGCTTCTTCCATGAGCACATAGTTGAAAGGATTATAATTAATAGCAGCTGCCATTCCTTGGGCAGGGAGGGACTGTGGGCTGAGAGGTGGGCTGAAGGTCTTTCATGCCCACTTACCTCTGCCCGTGTATAGTGACCAGCTGTCCCTGTTTGGGTCACATAACCTTTATTACTAAAGTTAGGACTGTTAGCCACCGTTTCATGGGAACACGCAACTGTGTCTCCCATTTGACACTGAGGAAACCGAGCCTTCACACAGTTCCTATCACTTCCCCTCAGAATCTGATCACAAAGATGGGCTAAGGCTGCAGCTAGACGTTTCCCCCGAAAAGACGCACGAGAGACCAAGAAGCACATGCAAAGATGCTCACCATCATTAGTCACTGGGGAGATGAAACCAAAACCACACGGAGAGCTGTGTCACACCTTCTAGCAGAGCTAACACTTAAAACAACAGTGACAGCAGCACAAAACCTCAAATGCAGGCGAGCATGCAGATAAATTAGGACACTTGTACATCGCTGGTGGAGACACAAATGTTTCGGCTACTCTGGAAAACAGTTTGGCGACTCCTCAAAGAGTTCATCATAGAATCCCCATGCAGCCTAGGGTTTGTACTCCTAGGAATATTCTCAAAATATTCTCAGAGTCAGGTACCCCTGGGAGCTCAGTCCTCCCGCTCTGGCTCCTCTGCTCAGTGTATCTAGGGGAAGCTGTGTTTCAGTTTGCATTTCTGTAATGACTAGCAGGGCTGAGCATCCTCTTCCACAGTTGTCATCTGTCTCTTCCACAGCGACGCTGTGGTTACTTACATGTTCCAGGCACTAAACCAAGACAGTGATGTGGCTGTGGCTATAGGTTGCAAGTGTCCTCTCAGGCTCCAAGGAGGTGGCTTTTCTCCTAGATTCTGTTGGTGCAATGAATCACACATGGGTATGATTTCGATTCTTAGCCCAGTTCCTGGAGTACACGCAGCTTGGCTATGAAGGCTTCTTAACTCCTGCTGCTGAGTCTGATTTGCTAATGTTTGGTTTGGTACTGCCAGATCCATGTTCAGGAGCAAGTCTCCTCTCTGCACAAGTCTGTGTGAAGTTCGGGTATCAAAGTTAGACTGCCTTGTGGAAGTAGTTTTTAAAAATCCCTCTTTTTCTGTTCCCTGTAATGCTGAGTACAAGATTGGCCTGTGGATGCCTTGTGAATGTGGTGACTACCTCCACACTTGCTCACTTTTGGGGGGTCCTGTGTCTGAGGCCACTTCTGCCTCCCCACTGGACAGGAGCATGGAGTAATTGTTCATGAAGTCAGGGGTCTCACATGAGAAACGTCCCCCAAATAGGCTTGACCAGAGCTGCACCAGGGACTCCTCCCCCGGCTTCTCCTGCGACTCCGTCCTTCTCAGTTGCTCTCTCTACTACCAGGACACTCTCCTTGCCACACCTTTCCGTGCCCTCCTGTTTTCCTCCTATTCCTCCATGCCCCTCCTCCTCTTTGAAGTCTGTGCCGAGACCCCCAACCCCCAGACAGGTGCACTGAGACAAGCGGCATGGTCTTTAGGGCTGCAGGAGGAGCGAAATCCTCGGCAGAGCTCGTAACTCTGCTAGCCGGCCAGCTGACTGACCCTGGGCAGCCTGTATTTAATCAGAGCAAGCAAGGAGCTGAGTGGATAAGGGAGAAAACCTGAGCGGGATCTTGGGAGGGGTTCAAGGACCCCTCAGAGCAACAGACGATGCTAATTAAGGAAAACTATCCAGAAAGTCTCTAGGAGGCCTCAGCTGTAGCCTGTCTTGCCCCCTGAGACGTCTCCTCATTCTCAGTTCAATCAGGCCCAGGCCACGCCACAGCCCTGCATGTGTACTCAGCTTCAATGTTCTCCAACACTCTTCTGTCCCTATTTCTCTCTCTGTGTCTGCTGGGTCTGTCCATATACCCTTCCCCAAAGCCCTCCTCCATGTACATGCAAGCGTGTGTGCATATGCGTGTGTGTACACATCCAGGCCTGCCGATGTCTGACACAAACCCAGCTCTTGGGTCTCCAGAATGCCAGGGGGAGTGACAGAAGGTGGGTGGCTGTGAGTGGGAAGAAAACCTGTGAAAGGGCCTCTCCCAGACCTTCCTGCCCAGTTCAAGGGCTATAAGGATGACCAGGGGCCCAGTGGAAGGCTTTTCTGTCCTTTAACCTCAGGACCTCCCTCTGGCTTCTGTTGTCCTCTGTCCCCTGCAGCTGCCTATCTGTGGCAAGACCACAGCTGAGTCCAAGCAGAGAGGCTGACAAAGAGGAGACTGACAGAGAGGAGAAGGAGTCCCTGGTGAGAAGGGCCTGGGCGAGGGACTGCCTTCCTCTTCTGCTGGCCAGTGCCCCAGCCCAGGACGTTCAGCCCTACAAGAACAGTCAGTGCAAAGAAGCCCAGCCAACCCACGATGGCATCAGCTGAGCTCTGGCCCAGTGCGATGGCTTCCCTTTAGACCCTGTTGGCCTCCCTGAAGAAGGACAGGATCCCTCTGGTGACAAGGACCATCCCTGCCCACTCCGGGATCTACAGCTCAGTAGGGTCTGGGATAGCAGGGATTCCCAGGGACCTCCAGGGCTACAGGGGTATGGGACACACTCCTTGCTGTCCTGAAAAGAGATCTCTGTGGGCTCCCCCTAAGCCTCTCTGGGATGCCCAGAGAAAGCTGTGCCCATCACTACTCATTGCAATACCAAGAATGGTAGTGGTGACCCTAAGAATTCTCTGCTGGATGGACCAACAGCTGCCTTAAGGAATCACTGCGGGAGAGGCATATTCTTAGACTGAAAACTCTCCAGGCTGTGGCCACTGTGAAGTGACCAAGGGACAAACCCCACATCCCTAAGCTGTGATAGTGACCTCACAGCACCTCTGCAAGGAGGCCTCTAGTGAGTCGCCAGTAAATGGAAGGACTTCCTGTCCTGGGATTACTGGGCTGTGTGTCCCAGAGCCCAGGGAACCTGTCCTGGTCAGAGTCTCATTAGCAGAGGAGTTGTGCTCGGGATCCCCACGGCCAACTGACTTTCCTGCTCCCAGGAGCACCCCTCTTCTGCCTGAGCCTACAGACCTGCTTTCACAACACATCCCATTTAGAGTTTGCCGGTGCAGTGGAAAACACACTTGGGGAGGCGTACCTGCCCCCAGTGCCGAAATGGGCACCACCTAAGCCCAGTTACCGGGTGCCTGTGGCCAAGGGTGGCATCACATTGATTTGACATGGGTTGGCACAGGGAAGTTCCTGGGTAGGAGCCAGCATCGTAGTTGGGCTGCCTATTCCTCTTACCTGCTACCTGTCCCATCCTATGAGTTGTAAGTGGAGGACCTGGCTGAGTTTGAAAGAGGGAAGGCTTTAGAAACACAAAGGTCTTCCAAGAAGAGTGGAAGGATTCTGTCCCAGGCTCCCTAGGGGAAAGCCAGGGAGAGGAAGTGGCACCAGGGGGAACAGGTTCAAGTCTGGTGTCAGGAACCTGCCAGCAGCCAGGAACACTGACGTGTATTCCACGCAGTATATCCAAGTGGCTTGGGCAGGAACTCTGTTTGGGGGCCCTAGAGCCATGAGGCCAAGGCAGTAGAGGGTAAAGGTGGCAGGAGCAGGTCTCAGGAGGCAGTGTCCGGGAGCACCAGGCTGCACGATGCAGTGGACGGTAAGGAAGCTGCCCCAGGCTTCGCTGCACGAGCGCACAGCAGCCTAACAGTTTGTCATCAGTGAATTCAGGGGAACTTTGCAGAGAAGGGGCCTGTCTTAACTGGTCCCCTCATTGCTGCAACAACAAACCCAGCACCTGCAAGTTAAAGGAAGAAAGGTTTATTTTGGTTCACCGCTTGTAGAGGTTTCAGTCCATAGTCAGCTGGCTCCAGGCATCACAGAGGAGAAACGGCTCGCGGCATGGTTAGCAGGAAGCAGAGAGATGGAGGGAGTAGAGAGGGACATAGACCCTTTCAGGCCACACCCTCAGTGACCCGGCTCAATTTGGCTTTACCTCTCAAGATCACATTTAGCCAAAAATTCATGAGTGGGCCAAACCACTAATGAGTACCACACCCCATGATCTAGTCACCTCCCGGAAGCACCATCTATGAGAGCAGGAGGCTTTGGGGGATATCAGACAAAGCAGGCTTTCTGAGTTCCCGGGGTGCCAGCTGGGCTGAGCTGAGATGCAAGCATCTCCCCGCATTTTCAGGGGAGCTGAGCAGATTCCAAGGAGCAGGACACAAACCATGTCTAGGCGCAGCTTCAGGCATCTACAGGCATCTTGGAGATTGAGCAGGGTGAAGACTGAGGGTGACAAGGACAAGGAGGGCCTGGAGCTTCTGAGTCTGAATCCCAAGGTAAGACAATCACAGGACACAGATGCAGGTTCTCGAAGCCCTTCCACATGGGTGCACATGCCAGCCCTGGAGGACAGAAGCCAAAAGGGTTCACCAAGTGAACAATCTCCTTGCAACCTCCTCCCCACTAGAGCTCAGGTCGCTTTCTAGAGGGCACCCAAAATTCCAGAATCCAGAGGAGTGGCGGTGTCCCCAACCCTCCAAAAAAAGTAAGCAAGCATCAGAGTCCAGGCAACAGTTCAGGATATCAAGGCTGCAGCCAGGAATGGTGGGCAGAGGCTAAGCAAAGGCATAGGAGAGGCTCAGGATCTCTGGGCAAGACAGGAGGGGAAGAGAACTGACTCCCTGAGGTAAGGTCCTGCATTAACACCGAAGGCCCCGTGGTGTAACCATTGCTGTGTCTCATCTGTTCCCAAAGGCTTGGGAGAGTAGGGGCATCCATTTACATACCAAATTTGCATAAAACCTACATAATTTTAGTGACAGGAAGAAAAAGGATTCTTTTTTTTTTTTTTTTCTCGGTACCAGGGATCGCACTCATGACCTCATGCTTGCCAGGCAGGTGCTTATGCCACTGAGCTAAATCCCCGGACCAGGAGGGGGATTCTGTATGGAGGACAGAATTTCAAGGTCCAGTAGAGTCTGAGGGACTCTATCATTTTTCAAACCAAGCTACATCAGTAGTGGCTTGATATGGCAGATTTAAAATGGCTACCAGGTGCTCACCCCAGCGGCACATACACTGAGAAGGGCTGCTCCTCCCGTGGAGAAAGGACAGCTGATTGTCCTCCGGGGTTCGGTCCCTACAGAAGCTAAGAGTTTTTTCCTATCGTAACCTCACATGGCTGAAAACATTGCTTCTGCCACTTCGCATCAGCTCTCTTTCTTCTGGCCTGCAAGCTGGGGTCCTCGGCTACCCATTTACAAGCGCCCACCCTCGCAAGTTCTGGAAGAGGCCTCACTCATCCTCCCCCTCTCGGACACAGCCTACAAGACCACCCCTTACCACAGAAGCCCGCTTCTGGAACCTTCCTTAGGAGGGGACTCGGCCTTTGTGGTCCCTGGCTATTTTGGCATTCATTTAGACATATTTGTGCATCTCAGGTCAGTTCCAAGCATATTTGTTAATTTTTGGAGTTTCTTACATTTCCTCCACTGGACTCCATGTCTTCTTGTTCCTTTTACCACTAGTAGGAACCATTCTAAAGTGAAGACATGAGGTTCTTTCCCTCCTGGCTTATATTTCCTGATCCACAATGAGAGGAGGAGCTCACTGACCTGTCCATCTTTCTTTCTTTGTATCTATGCAGCCAGCCAGCACTCTACCCAGTAAGCCATCAGCCTACCAACTTACTCATCCAGTCTACCCAGTCATCCATCAGTCCATCTATCCAGTTGTCATCGATCCATCTATCCACCCACCAGCCCACCCATTCATCCGCCCATCCATCAAGCCGTCCAGTCTCTCATCCACCCATACATCTACCTGACCATCTGTCCACCCACTCATCCACCCATTTACCACCCATTTATCCACCTATCAACCATGCATGCATCCATCCATCCATCCATATCCATCCAACCAACCATTCAAACATCTAATTTTTAAACTCTCACCTTGGAGAGCTACAGGTATGAATCCTTCCCTCATGACACTCATCTCCAGTGTGAGAAAGTCATATTTGAACATACAAAAAAAATAACTGCAAGTTGTGGGATTCGCATGAAGAAAATAGACTGGGGCGGTGGGGCAAACACCACGGCGCCGGTCTATTTAGGGACACCCAAGGGTCAGTGTAAAATCAAAACCATATCCTACTTATCACAGGGTTGACCTAATTGTGAATCCTCTGCTCCAAGACCCAACGTCAAACTGCAGCTCATGAGTAGCTTCTGGGATTGGAAATGTCCAGAGCAGGCCCAGCCTCCTCTCCCAGGCAAGCAGAGGTGGCCTCTGAATACTCTGGGGACAGCCAGCAGCCAGGGTCACCAAGGCCTCCTTTGCTCGGAGTTGCATCATGGAGTAAGCCCTCTGTGCCCTAAGGAGGCAGAGAAGGGGGAGGCCACGCAGGAGGAGGAGGAGGAGGAGCAGATGGAGAAGGAGGAGCAGGAGGAGGAGCAGATGGAGAAGGAGGAGCAGGAGGAGGAAGAGCAAAGCCAGTGCTTGCTCCCCAGGGAGGCTAGAATGCTAATGGGTGCAGTCAACCCAAATCTAATCTCAGAAAGGAATGATTTTAAAAACAAAGACAAAAGAGGCTCTGACCTGTTTCCCAGGCTTCTGCACATTCTGCTTGAGGACTTCAGAGGGCAGTGGGCATCAGAGAGTGTGGGGCAGTCCGAGGCAGCCTCTCCTCTGCACCTTCTTCTAGGTGACTGGCCGGGTTCCAAGAGGGACTGTCATCCCAGAGGGGCCTTGAGGGCTTAGCATGCTGTCTCCCCGGTGCCAACCAGGCCTGGGCAGAAGTGGGTAGGCTCCCCAGGGTCCTGGCAAGCCAACACTTAGCAGCACTGCCCAGTCCCTTCCCTAAGCCCCTGCAGCTGCCGCATCTCCATCAGAGTGGATCCCCCATTCACTCTGCATCACCCCCTCCAGCATGGGCGGGTGCTGGTGTTCGATGACCCACGGTATTCTTGGGGGACTTTACTCAAGACAGCATGACCAGTCCCTGATGAGGTACCCTGTGGAGCTGAGCCACCCCCTTCTGTGACGCTAGAGAGAGGGGCACTCATGGCACTGGCCATGTGTTGGAGCCACCCAGGGGCCCCCGCAGATCCTCGCCTGCCTGTGGTTTCTGCCTTGTCTGCAGCCGTTGGACCAGGCCCTGCAGCTCCAGCCTTTCGTACTGCGTCCCAGCACAGGGATAAGCAGGAGTTAATCACACAGAGTTTCGACACAGACTTGGAAAGAGCAACAACGTAAGCCCTGGCTCCTGAGGGCTGCAGAGTCTTAATGCAATAACCCAGATCCACATGCCACCCTGCACATGTGCACTGGATAAACAAGGCCCGCACCAGGGCTGGTTTTCGAATGCATATACATGCAGTTGCAAATAACCAAACACAAATTGATTTTAAACCACTGCTGAATTCAAAGTAGCTTCTCGCCCTTGTGAGTTTTCTTAGCCAGTGAATTCTAAAAACAAAAGCACCAGGACATGAAGAGGTTCCAACGTTAAAAACCAGCCTGTGGACTTCCAAGGAGGGAGGCCCCCGATTCCACAGCAAATGCTTCCTTTTCTATGAAGAAAATGAAGTTCAGGGAGGTTAAGAATCATGGCCAGGATCCGTCAGCTTGTGATGGTAGCAGAGCCTGGACCAGCCCAGTTCCGGCTTCAGACCCGTGCAAATGCTTTAGCCCCCCTGAGCCTTCATTCCTCCCCTGCGGAACGTGAACACCAACAGCATGACACGGAGAATCTGGCACAGTGGTCACACACAGTGCTGGACACAGTAGGTGCCTGACAAGGGATGCTGGCCGGCAGCATGGCTATCATTACTGCCACTACAGCCCATGGCCTCATGCGGCCTCTATCTGTACTCACACCGTGCAGACGTGAGTCCCCTGCAGCCACACACGCTTCACAGTGGAGCGGCTAAGTAGTCAAGAGCTCTGTCCCCTTCCCCACTCCCCAGCCAGTGCAGCTGGGACAGAGAAGCCTCAGGCACCAGCTTCCAGTGAGCCTCCACAGGGTCCACAAGTCCCAGAAGTGCCCTTGCCTGGGCCTACATCTTGCACAGAGGAGCAAGCAAGGTGGGTCATAAGCAGGGGCACAGTTTGCTTTCACTAGGGTGAGGTGGGGGTACCCGTGCTCAGCAGTCACCAGTCTCTAGGGTCAGGGATGGTTTGGTGGAAGGAAGAAAGGGTGGATCCATGGGAAGATGGAAGGGAGGGAGGGAGAGAGGCAAGAGAAGAAAGGGGGAGAGGGGAGAAGAGAGGAGGGGAGAGAAAGGAAGAGAGGAAGCAGGGGGGAGGGGAGAGGAAGAGCAGGAGAGGGGAGGGCAGCAGTGGGGAGGGGAGGAGAGAGGAGAGATGGAAGGAAGGGACAGAGGAGGGAGGGAAGGATGGAGGGAAGAATGGATGAGTTTGTGGAAGGATGGATTCGCTGTTTGCTCAGGACACTGTGCAACCACATTGAGAGAGCAAGGTTGAGCCAGAGGGCAAGGAAACGGGTAGATCTTTCAGGTAGATTCCAGGTGACATTTCAGAGGCCAACAGCACAGAGCAGCTGTCCTGAGACCTAGGTCTCTGCCCACCCCTGAACATTTGGAGTGAAGTCAAGATAAGGACTGGGGTCCTACTGAGGAGTAGAGAGAACCCCCAACACCTCGGTCCAGCCACAGACGCCTGGCTGCTTGGTGAAGGAGCTCCAGACCCTGGGCCTGCCTGAAGTGGACGCCCCCTCCCCTGGGGCCAGCGTCAAGGTTGGCCTGCAGGGCTGCTGTTCCCGCAAGGAGAAGCTGGCGGCTGCCTGTGGGCTGCCAGAGCCTGATCTATTTATAGCACAGGCTGCAGGCTTTATGTGTTTTTTTGGCTGCTGCATCCAGAGATCCCACGTGCTTTGTTCTATGAGGCTGTTCGGCCTTGAACGCTGCCGCCGCCTCACATTCCCCCCTGCCAGTGGTAACAGAAGCCCATGCGTGCACACATCTGCACACAGTCAGGGGGCCACTGGACCCACCTCTCCCCTGCCTGCCCGGAGCCCGCCTACCACACACAGCTCTCAATTTGCACCAAACCTGTCTCTACGCCATCCACGCTCAGGTCTGATTTTGAAAATCAAATCCTTTTTATGACTGAAGCACCAGGTCCTGCAAAGAGAACCCAGTAAAAGTCCTTGGGTAGAGGAAAATTCCTTCCCACCCCTCACAGGTATTGAGCCTAGAACCTTCATACTGAGCTACACCCCAGCTGTTTTCAGCATTTGAGACAGGATTTCTCTCAGTGGCACTGGCTGGGCTTGAATTTTCGATCCTCCTGCCTCAGCCTCCCAGAATGCTGGTGTCAAGGGTGGCCTCACCACACCCAGCTAGCACTCTCTGAACTGCAATTTGAAATTCTGTGTTTTAAATCCTTTTGATCACTTTTTTCCTAGGAAGACAAGAACAATAACAAGATAAATGACCTCCAAGCTTGGTCCCTCTGGCCAAGCCTTCCACAAAATGAAGGAGATACCCAGAGAGCTCAGAGCTACCCACCATGTGTCCAGCTGGCCTCCCCACTGCCCAGGCAGAGATTGCCATCAGGCTGGGAGATGCTGGAGTGAGGAGAGCTGGCACTGTGGGGTAGATCTCCTTTGTCCAGATGCAAAGCTCAACGTGGCTTCCTTGGAGCTCAACCAGCCCCAACCAGCGGGCATCTGAGTTCCACCGCTCCAAAAGGGTCCTGAGCAGGCTGTTTAGTGACCACTTCTCTAGGCCTTTGCCAGCGTGGCCTAGAGGAGAAGAGCCTGGGCTTTGATTTCTCTGGGCCTGGGCTCCAACTGTCCTGCACTTACTGGCTGAAGGACAAGTCCCTTTACCTCCTGTGCCAGTGTCTTCAGCCTGTCGAAGGGTGATAGCATCGCCCCCACTTCGGGCGATTATGAGGCATGAGTGGAAATACACACCTAATGGTGTCCAGGTTATTAATAATGAAGGCAATGTTGCCACTTTTGTTTACCTCTTGCCAAACCAATGACAATAGGTTTCTATTTACAGCAAGCTATGACTAATGGGCAGCATGGCATGGTGCCAACTCCCAGCCCCATGCAGTAGCTCTGCTGTGGCCTGGCCACTGCCTCCTGCCCATGCTGTGCTGGGCTTGCACATTGCTGGGCCCTACCTGGCAGCCCAGGGTCAGATCGCAGAGCATGCTCGCCAGTCCAAGGGCCAAGTCCCTTGTCACTCCAGGGATAGGCTGTCGCTCCCTAGAAAGGAGGTTTGCCAGCCCTCTACCCTGTTTAACCAGCAGCCCAAAGAGGGGAGACAACCTCCCTTAAAACACACAGCAGGCATTCGGAGGAGTTGCCAGTGTCCTGGGGTACAGCCTTTGAGCTTGACCTCCAGACTAATTTACAACAGAGCTAAAACAGCAAAGGCTCCCTGCCTCTCTGGAGGCCTGTCGAGAGCCACCAAAGCTTTGAGAGCCACTTCCGGTTGTCTTTGCTTTGTGGTTGAAAGCTGACTTCTCTCTCCGCCTCACAGGAAGAGACGCTGGCAGCTGCCAGGGAAGACGTGAAACCGAACTGGAGACGCAGGAAGCTGTGGGGGCCACATCCCGCCACCCATGAAGGTCAGGCAGAGAGGCAGTGCCAGGGCCTTCAGTCCAGGTCATCTCGCCTGCAACCGGCACTGGGTTGCCTTGTTTTTGCGGGGCATGGGACAAGCAGACAGCCTCTCGTCACACTGGAGCCGGGTGCTCAATTACCACAGGGCCCCAAAAGATGCCAGCAAGCAGAGCTGTGAGGACCCCTTCCATGGCCCTTTCTGTGGTTCCAGGCCCTGGCAGAGTGCTCAGAGAATGTGAACCAGCTCCTGAGCTGGAGGAAGGAAGGTCAGGAACACAGGTTCGACAGGAGTGCCAGGCAGGTGGCCCTGCCCCTCATTTCTTCTCCTGCTGATCCAGTGCAAAACACAACATCACTCAGTATCACCAGGCCTTACATGCTGCCTGCTACACCTGTCCTGTCCCCCCAGCACACACCAGGTCCCCCGAGTATGCAGGGAAGCAGAGCCACCTCCCTGGAAGAAGAGGACTCAACCCAAGCTGTGAAGGAGGGACACCATGCCACCTACCTGTGTGCTTGGCAGGGCAGCCACCTGTAGAGATTGTTCTTGTGGATGCCAGGAGTTGAGAGAACTTCTGTGGGATCCAGAGCAAGGACCCTAAGGCAGAGAAAAGGAGGGACAGACAGTCTTTCCCATGGAGGCTTCCTGGCTCTCAGCCATGTGGGGCCACCTGGAGCCCTTCGGAGACTACAAGAGCAGGGACCAGGGAGAGGCTGGCCTGAGTGGGCAGCTTTCTGCCAGCAGCAAGCTGGGCAAGGCATTAAGTCCAGTGACCTTTGGCAGCAGCCTGGATTTCCCCAGAGCTCCTGGGGCCTGGATCCCGGCTGTGGGAAGAGGGCTGTCAGAGCCCCGCCCGCCACAGTCACATGCACGGACACCCCACACACCAGCCAAAGGGCCCAGGCCTCTGTTAAGAGGAGACAGAGGCAGCCGCCCTATCTGGGAGCTGTCTTGGCCAGGAGCCTTTATTGGAGCAGCAAACCATGTCTCAGACACTGGGTGGATCTTGTTTGAGTCTGGAAAGAAAAATAATTCTGAAAAAAACTTCAGCAGGCTGCCAGTGGCAGGGTGCGGGAACCACAGAGCTCAGCACAGCCCACAGCCCACCCCAGGGACCCAGGAAGTCCAGCGGTCTGGCTCAGCTGCCCACAACCTCCTCCCGGGCCTGTAGTACTGTCCCTTGGGTGTCCCACTCCTTACAGCTACTGACAGTTGCTTGGGTGAACACAGTATTCATTCCTGGAGCTGCTGGCTATGGGCTTCTGCCCTTGTGCCCCACAGGCCTATGGATAAACTAGTGTGGTCCTGGCCACCACGACGGACCGCAGAGGCCTTTGTGAAAGGAGCCAGGGGCAGCCAGCAGTGTGGGCACAAGCCTCGTGAAGAGGGACTGAAAACAATATTTCAAGCCCAGAAATCCCCTCACCCCTCAGCCATCTGACTTGGACCCAGAGGCAAGCCAGATAACAGCCTCCCCTGGCCTCCACCCCAGGCTGCTAGAACAGCTGGGAGCCCAGCCATCACCACAGAGGCCATTCTTCAAGAAATAATCCTAATGGATAAACATTATATTCAAATTGCAGTGCATCTAGGCAATGGAATATTATTCAGAGATAAAATGAAATGAACCATCAAAGCAAGGAGAAAACTTAAATACACACTGCTCAGTGAAAGGAGCCAGTCTGAAGACTACATGCTGTCTGATCCCAACGATGACAACCTGGAAAAAGGCAAAGATGCGGGGATGTCAGAAGTTCAGCGGTGAGCCAGGCGAGGTGACGCAATCCTAGCACTCTGGGTGTCTGAGACAGGAGGGTTGAAGGTTCAAGCCCAGCCCAGGCAACTTAATGACTTAGAGAGATATCCTGTCTCAAAGTAGAAAAACACATTTTAAAGGCTGAGGTGGTAGCTCGGTGTGAAGGCCCTGGGTTTAATCTCCAGCACTGTAAAGAAAAAATAAAAATCGGTTGACTTTCAGGGACTTGGAGGGGGGCGGTCTTGGGGCTAGCGAAACAATTCGGTGTGACATTGTAATGAGGGTGACATTATGCATTTGTCAAAACCGATAGAATGTCGCACACAGAGCCAGCCCTGGAGAAACAGAAGACTGCAGTTAATGTATGAAAATCGGATCCCTGGCACTGATACACCACAGGATTGCAAGGTGTTAATAGTGGAAGGAACCATGTGTGTGTGTTTGGGGGAAGGGAATATGGGAACTTTATACCTTCTGCTTAATTTTTCTGTAGGCCTAAAAGTCCTTTAACAAAAAAGTCTAATAATTAGTCATCATAATAATTAAAAGGTGGATGGCATGTGTTTCATTATGTCTCTACTGGTTTTTGTGTATCCCAATGACAACTAACTGTCCAGCTAATTTCTATAGCTAGCAAACCATTCATCTGCAAAAAGGCTTTTCTTATGGAAAACTCCACCCAGAGCCCACTCCCACTGCCCCATTTATCAGAGTAGCCCTAATCCTAACCCCAGCTACCGCCAGGCCACCCCCACAACGTCTTGGGAAGCCCCTCCATTCAGGTCAGCCCTCTCAGAGCCCGCTCTCCCCTACCCCTGCCCGTCCCCCTGCTCTCCCCATAGAAGCCACAGTAAAGGGCCCCACCAGGCTTCACCCTCACTTTACCCAGAGTTGCCCTGGTGCTACCCACATGACCCTGCGTGGTATGGCCCTTGCCCACTCTTGGCATCTGTGAATAATAGTATTGTTAGTCTCTCGGTCTGTTGGCCTCATCAAACCTGCATCATAAACAGATTGACATTTTAAACAGCTCTCAAGCAGGGCCAGCACAGAGCAAGGTACTGGATGCTTGGTCTACCCCAAACTCCAGTGTTGAAGGTGCCCTGGGGTTCATCTCAGTGGCATCAAAAGCTCCTAAACAACAGAAGCTTTCATCAGTAGAGTAATCATGAAATCAGTTCTAGGATTAGAGCCCCCTTCCTGTTCCTCCCAGGTAAGTAAACTGAGGCCCAGAGAAGGGAGGGGTTACCTCCACACTGGTGAGAGGCCCAGCTTTCACTTGGCTCGGTGCAGAAAACCACAGAAGTGGGACACAGCTGTGTCCTGGTGGGGGAGGAAGTCCGGCAACCACAGCTGCCCACCTCCATCTGTGCTCCCAGGATTACTCATCAATTCCAGCCTGCTCCGGAGGGTCCCATCCTCCCACCCAGGCCCAGCCTGGCCCCAGGTCAGCGGATAAGACCCCAGCTCTGACACTCAGGAGGGTCTCCTGGGCACACTGCTGCCCTCCCACCCCCCTCTGCTGGAGTGATAAAATCCTCAACTGAGCTCTCACAAGAGTGGGGAGAGGGCCACCCCCAAAGGCTGATGAAGCTGACCAGGATACAGCAAAGAGGACCAGCAGTCACATCAGGTAATGCGAGGCATTAGACAGTGGCAGCCTGTGTCCACGCCCAGCTGCATGCGTGGTGCGCTGTGGGTGTGCGTGTGCAGCTTGTGATGTGTATGTCGTGTGGGCAGCTGGATGGGACACTCATGCTGGGCTGCTCCAAGCAGACACCAGGGAGATGATGCTCATACCAGCAGCAGGACAAATACATGAAAGGCCACTTAAGTGGACATTAAGACTGACAGGAAGTGTTTTTCAAGAGGGAAAAGCTGTGGAGGGACGGAGAAGAGTGATAAACCCCACGTGCTTGAGGCTCCCTGGTCCATCACTGTGCTGAGCCCCCAAGGGCCGCAGCAGGACACGTGCTATCTCACTGCTTCCATGGGCCATCGAAATCAATGGTGCTGGCCTGTGTGTGGTGGCTTTCCTCTCTCCCCAAGGACAGAGGTCCTGGGTTCCCCGCTGAGCCCTGCAACCCCTACCTACTTAACTCAGCTTACACTAGCGGGAGTGTGGGGAGGTGGTGTCCATCAGACGTGGCAGGGACTCGTGGAGAAATGAGCTTTGTGCAAGAGCCAGTGTCCCAGACACAGGGTTGAGGTGGCTTTACATGATGATTCAGGACAAGAGCACCTCCTCTGCCCTATGCAGCTGACCCTGTGCCACTGTGTGCAGGCAGCTGGGACATCTGTGTGTTTGCCTGAGCCCTGCCCCGACCCTGTCTTTTCAAGATTCAGGCAAACATGTCTGCTTTACAGTGGCTCCTAACCCAGAGCCAGAAGTCTGCAGAATGAGGCAACAGGAAGCTCCCCGTGGAAGTGGAAATACAGATTCCCAGGCCTGGCACACTTCCAGCTTGCCTCCCTCCTCGTTCCTGCAGTCTTGCCATTCCTCTGGTCCTCCCTGCCACAGCTGATGAGGCTAACAACAATGACAGACCCTCCCTTTCCAAGAAGGCATGCACACACATTTAATTCCAACAACTTCAATTTGCAGTTGAGGAAACAGAGGTTTAGAGATGAGCCACCATGTGAATATGCAAGTGGTAGGGGCTAAGGGTCACCCTCGGGGTCTGTCGGGAGGCCACAGGGCCAGATTCCTTATGACTGGCGCAGTACAATCACAAAATATGGTGAACGCTGAAGTTTTTTAAAATTATTACAGTAAAAGGCATATTGCCATTAATCCTCCTCAGAACACTCTGCCTCCTTTGAATGTTCTTATCCTGTCATTCTTTGCAATGACTTTACTGTAATAAACTTTTTATTAAATTTAGACATTTACCGTATTTCTTGATCACCCCTTCCACATCCTACTTGGACTATCACATCCAGATGATATTGCACATCAGTATATTCCATGTTGTCATTTGTCGGATGAATGACCTTTAGGGATGTAATAAAGGTGCCTGGCACCATTTAAGAGACTGCAGCTATGAAATAAACAAAACAGCCAAAAATACTTACCTGCCTCCCCACCTACAACCTGGACCTTACCTTCTTATGGTACCTACTTACCCCCTAGTTTTTCACTCACTTTCTTTTTAAGGTAACATTTATTTTAAAAGAAAATTCATGTTGTTACTCCAGATGAAAATCCAGAGTTAGATTTTCTGATTCTGTAGACACACTCTTTCTGTTGTTATGATTTGTGTCTGGATGCTCCTACGAAGCCTCAAGCAGTCATGGGGGCAGGCTTTTGGGGCGGGCTTTTCGGAGATGGCTGAATCTAGAGTTTGCGATTGGTTCATTGTCTAGCGTTGGGATTGGTGGTGTGATTGCTGCACCCACCCTTCAGGAGGTGGTTTGCATCCAATATAAGGGAGGAAAAAGGCCTATTCCTCCTTCTGCACCTCTTGCCCCTTTGTCATGCCTTTTGGCTCTTATTGCTTTTGCTGTATTCTGCCACTTTGGGCAGTCACCTGTCTCCACGCCACCCTACCTTGGAGCCAGCGGGTTATAGACTGAAACCTATACAAACTGTGACCTAAATAAACCTTTCCCTCTTTCACTTTGGGCATTGGGTGTTTTGTCTGAGCAACAGAAGAAAGTAACTAAGACACCTGTGAATGTCTGAATCCTGAAGAATGCTCTCATTTGATTAAAAAGGGAGTTCTGTTCTTCAAATTTTTAAACATAGAGTTACAAATGATCCTGGAAGTCCACTACTATGTATAGACCCAAAAGAATTGAAAACAGATATTCAAATACTTACAGACTAATTTCATAGCAGCATGATTCAAAATAGCCAAAGGATTAAAGCAACCCACATGTCCGTCAAAAGCTGCAGGAATAAGATGGTAGTATCTATTCACACAGTGGACTATTACACAGTCATAAAAGGAGCAAAGCCCTGAGCCTAGAAACCATGAGACAAGGTGAAAGAAGCCAGACGCACAAGGTCACCTGCACAGTAACTGTATTTCTATGAAATGTCCAAAATAAATAAATCCAGAGACAGAAGGCCAAGTAGTGATGGCCAGGCCCAGAGGAGAGGAGACAGGTGCA